ATAAAAACTGTGCAGAAGGGGAACTTGGAGGTTCAGGAGTTGGAGTCAGCCGAAGGATTCCCACGGGTACAATTCCTCAGTGCAGAGTGAGGAGAATCTCGACTGCCCTGTTGTTGTTTTTCAGGACCAGTCCCTCCCTCTGCAAGAGACCCCTCCCATGAAGGGTCGGCACTTAGGGCTGGATTTGTCACCCAGGAAGGAAAATGCCATTACAAAGGAGCTGAGCAATCAGAAGACAGTGTAAGGAATCCTTTTTCTCCTGTTGTACTTCACCTCTAGGGAGCTGAGGTGGCCATCAGCTGCTCGGCACTGGCAGCACAAGTGTGGCCAAGGGAAATAGGATCAGATCCCAGGCAGTCTGGAGGGAAATCCAATGAAGGGAAAGCCAGGTAACAGGAGGGATTTGCTTCCTGCCCATCTCCAGATCAACAGGGAGGCCAAGAGAGGCACTGTCATCCCAGCCCAGCTGCCCTCAGTTCACCTGCTCAAACTATTATTTACAGGGGCTCTTCTGCTGGGCTGTGATGAAACTGCCAATCCTGCACTTCCAACTTAGGCCAGGAAAATATTCTGCTGCCCTTTCCCAACCCTACAAGCAGCCCCACCTCCTGATTTCATTGCTGGAAACCTCAGAGCACACCTCCTCCTGCCATGCACAGCAGAGCTTCCAGCCCTGCATCTGTACACAATTATTTTCTTCTGAGGTGCTTCATTGCTCTCCAAATCTTTTCTCCCCACACAGACACTCAGGATCTTCCAGGATACAAAAGATGCTCATTTTTCCTTTTCATTTCCTGCAAATAAACCTACAGAGGGAAAGAAAAAGGGGAAAAGGGGAAAAGGGGGGAAAAACGGGGAAAAGGGGGATTTGCTTCCCTCTAACTTTCCTGCCAGAAAAACAAATCATCTCTGGAGTACCCACAATCCCTCACAGTAGAAAAAAAATGTGCATAAGAGTATATACTAGGGATATATGTCACACTGTATTAAAAACAAATAATCTGGAATTAGTTGCTTCAAAGGTGAGGAAGGCCATGAGGGGAATAGCAGGGGGCTGAATTTCTGTCTGCCACATCCACCAGCACAGTAAAAAAAAATTGTTGTCAGCACTGGAAAACTGCCCATCATGTGAGTGGCCTTAGCAGACGATGAGCTGCAGGACATGGGCACAAATCCATCTGGCCAGGGAGCAACACTGAACATCCATGGACTTGTGCTATCCCTCTCCACCTTTTCCTTGAGCCCCCTCCATCCTTCTCCACCTTTTTCTTGTGCCCCCCTGCATCCCTCTCCACCTTTTCCTTGTGACCCCCCCCTTCCATCCCTCTCCACCTTTTCCTTGTGACCCCCCCCTTCCATCCCTCTCCACCTTTTCCTTG